TTTTTTGGTGAAAACAGTAATCTTGAACCAACAGTAATAAACCAGAGTGTTACATTTTTCCTGATGTGTTTTATAATTGTATGCAGATAGAAATAATTAGAGTTCAAGATTGAAACATGAGAGGTTTGGTAGTTTAGAACTGTTTATGAAATCTCTTGTTTTTAGGGTTAATGAAGCAGTGATGTGTTTAGAACTGTTTATGAAATCTCTTTAAAAGGTTATTGTTTTTAGGGTTACATGAAGCAGTGATGTGTTTAGAACTGTTTATGAAATCTCTTTAAAAGGTTATTGTTTTTAGGGTTACATGAAGCAGTGATGTGTTTAGAACTGTTTTCATTCAGTTTATTATGTTTTGTCAGGTTAAGAAGGTTAAAGTTAAATTGAGAGTGCTTACTTTCAAGGCAATCCTGAAGGCCTGGGACAGAATCCTGTATTAGGGCTTTGTATTTCAACACTAACTATGTATATTTATATTCCCAGTTATTTAATACATAATATATCTATAGTTTATGTGTGGTCTGAAAGTGTGGATATGCAACTTACAGGGTCCTTGATTTTTTGTAAGGCCTGGGTCAGATTGACCCCCTCCCCCCAGTCATAAGAGTGGTCCTGTTAATGTGTATTTTTATGTTTCATAATATTTTACCATAACCTCTTTTGTTTTGTACACTTGGCATTAAGTTCCTTTTATTGAAACAATGCAGCTGCTAAATATACCCCCTTCTCCCCGTGCCTCACCATAATCGTAGCTTCCAATGTACAGAGGAAATTTGGTGGGAGGATCAAATTTACCATGTAAGTGACACTTAAAGTATGATTACTATTCAAACACTGTCAAATGTTAAGAAGAGGAAAACACTACACGAACCTTCGTATATTTCCTGGTTAGTTGACGAACTCTTTAACAATACAACATGGTAATTTTGTGTTTAATAACTGTTTTTACTTGTGCATAGTTTATGGGTTGTTCTTCATGAGTTACTAGTTTAAACAGCTTGGTTAATGATTGAAACGCTGTTATATATATGTGTGGTTACAGTGTATATTTATATTGACGGGTTCTTTTTTCATACGTGTTTCTTCTCTCTTTTTTTTTAGTGTATTTCTTGAGCAAGGTCATGGTGCACTTGGAATTGCGTCAACACTTCTACAGTCTAAGGTTTACAGACACTTGGTGGATTTTGATAATCATCTTGATGATATATCTCAAGACTGGAGTAACCAGTTAATAAATGAAGAAATAGCACGTTGTTTATAGCAGTGAATTAATTAAATTAATATCCCTGTAAGTTGTATTATATCATTGTGTTTTAGGTAAGTCTGTGGTTTTTAATAAAGCCAGTACCGATGTAATTAGTTTTTTAGGTGAAACTTTCTTGTGAATATAAATGTTTATGAGAAGGGAACTTGTTAATTGTATAACCAGGAATGAACTGGTCATGAAGATATTTCATCATCGGTCAACCACAAATGCCAAAAAATGGGGCTTATTGATATAATCTCATTAGTAGTGAAACCCTTTCAAGACGGGTCACGGGTGAAAAGCCATGTCATCTCATTTGTTAACTCACATTCAATATT